CGCGAGGTCGTGAGGTGTTTAGATGAGGAGTAAAACCACGAAACCCCGCGGTGCCCACTAGTTGCGTAGGAGGCGGTAATCGGCAAGCCACGCGCGGAGCGAGGAAGCCATAAGAGATAGACGCACATATATGACGTCATCGGTGACGCCTGCACCAAACTGCACGAGCGATGTATGCAGTTCTAACGCAGAAACATAAAAGCAACGAGCTGGCGAATTTTCTAACATTCCAGATCCTCCCGTGTTCGTCTACGTCCTCCGACAAGAATTTCACAACAGACCGGGCATTCCACCCCCTTGACCTATCGTGTGCGAAACATTCCCAAGAGCAACGCGGAGGGAGGGAGCGAGCGGGCGGGCGGGCGATCGATCGATCGATCGATCGATGACGCAGCTTACGAGGAATCAGACGCTCCTAGACCTCTACAGCCAAAGAGCAACGTCCCGAGGGAGGAGCCCTTGACAACTGTCTGATTCAGAGTGGCGTGAGGAGGGTGGCGGAGGTCAGTGACCTCTACAGCTGTGGGAACTTCCTGCGAATATCGACTGCTGCTTCCCAAGGGAAGGTATCAAGTCCGTGTCTGTGCGTGAGAATCTTATCAAGCCTAGTGGTAATCATATGTACCACCTACTTTGACAATCAATAACTCTCCGTTTTGCCAACGTAGAGTACGAATGTGTTCGTATGATTCTCAGAATAAACAGCGATTATTTCCTTAAACGGCGTTAACCAATCGATCTTTTGTAATGGTGAAGAGTTGTGTTTTCTTCGCGGTACGGGCCGTATTCTTAAATAATATTTAGACGATCTTCGGCTTCACGGGTTAACCAGTCGATCTTCGTAATGATGACGTGCGGTGTTCTCTTCGCGGTACGGACCGATTTCCACGATACCAGAAACACGAAGTCTAGGTAGTCAGCGCGCACCCGGAAGGTCCTGCGACCGGCCATCTCGACACAGGTTTTCCTTGGTTTTCCTCTGTCTTCAAGCAAATGCTGAGATGGTTCCCAAGTTCCAAGTTGCCACTGCATGCTTCTCATGCAGCCCTCCAGATTTAAATTAATCAAAATTTACCACCCCCTAACGCCGTCAAAATTTACCCCCCTTCCCTCAGTAGGAACTTCTAAATTATGTCCCCCGATATCGAAGTGTCTCTCACTTCTCCCCCACCAATTTCCTCTTTCTCTGTCTCTCTCTCTTCTACTGGCTAACGCAAAGCAAACTGATGGCAGCAGCAAGCACCTCTGAAACGTCGGTCAATATGTAAGATTACATGGCGCAACATACCAGGAGATAAAACATCAACGGATATCAAATTTTGCCGAGTTACAAGTAGAATCCTGCTCGGTCTGTGATCACAGACGAGGAAAAATGAAAGAATGCGTCTACCGGCGGCTCTTTTCGACGGGAGGAAGGCGGCCGAAGCGTGAAGCTTCTTCAGGCACAAATTTTAATACAGGTCCAGGTAGAAGGCGCAGGCTTTCCGCGAGGTTGTTGATCTGATACGTGAATCACACACGCAGGAACACGTAGACGGGGCTTCAGCTGCTGCAGTCCCGCGACAGCTTGGCCTAATTCCGTAGCGCACTCAATGGACAGACAACTCAAAGCCACAAATAGTCAGTCGCCAGTCTGATGCAACCAACCGCCTGGCTCCCAACTCCCCAGGCAGCGCAAAAGCCTTACGATGATGCGCTCAGAGGCGATACGTCCCACCGTGTCCACAATTCTACCCTCCCATCTGCGCCTGGGTCTCGCAAGTGGTCTTTTCCCCTCAACATGTTCGCGTATTTCACGTCTGACCTCCAACCCCACCCTCTGGAGTCCCGTCCGTCTCTTACTACAAACCCAGACAGACGCAACGACGCTCAGTGAGACATTATCGATTAGTCGAGTAAAACTGTGTCACTTTGCCGTGCGGGACGGACGAGCGTTCGATGCTGACTT